CTTTTGTTGCTTCCTGCATCATTTAATATTTTGCCCATGGTATCCTGAGGCTTGAATTTTTCCTTCAATTCTTTCAGTTTGAAAAATGCTGTGTTCTTTCCTTTTGGTTTTCTAATTCCAGGCTGTTAATTATTTCATTGTAATACTTTGTCTTCTCAAGCTTCTCTCTGAAATTTTCTGTTTCAGCTCCTTTATTTCCTCATTTCTTCCCATTGGCTTTAGCTTCTCAGTGTTCAAGAGCAAGTTTCAATGTCTCTTCAGACATCATTTTGGTGTTTTGTTTATCACTTCCTTTACCTTTTGTTTCTTCAAGTGGATGTTCTTGATGTCACCCTACAGCTCCTCTGGTGTTCAGTCATTGGTGAATGATCAAATATGTACTTGATGTGGTCTCTAAATTCAGGTGGGATATACTCAAGGTCATATTTTGGCTCTTGTGGATTTGTTTTAATTTTCTTCAGCTTCAGCCTGAACTTGTATATGAGCAATTGTTGATAGGCTATTCCATTGTCAGCCCCAAGCCTTGATAATGAGCATCTCCATAGTCTCTTCTCACAGATGTAGTCAGTTGGATTCCTGTGTATTCCATCTGGGCATTTGTGTTGCTCATAAATAGATCTGGGAGCCCTGGTAGTGTGGTGGTTATGTGTTGGACTGCTCATTGAAAGGTCAGCAGTTTGAATCTGCCAGCCGCCCTGGGGAAGAAAGATGAGACTTTTTGCTCCTGTTAAGTTAACAGCCTCAGAAACCCTATGCAGGGTAGCTATAAGTCAGAATCGACTCGACGGAATACTACCACCATACCACCAAATGTATTTACAATGAATAAGTCTTGCAAAGTTCCATCTTATGATCTCCAGCATCATTTCTGTCACCAGTGCCATATTTTCCAACTATAGCTCCTTCCTGTTTCCAGCTTATGCATCCTAAGCAATAGTAAATACCAATGCTTCTTGATTGCATGTTTGATTGATTTCAGACTGACGAAGTTGGTTGTTGTTGTTGTTATGTGATGTCGAGTCAGTTCCAACACATAGCCACCCTATGTACAACAGAAGGAAACGCTGTGGGGTCCTGTGCCCGCTTCATAGTTGTTAACGCTTGAGCCCAGTGATGCTGCCACTGTGTCAGTCCATCTCTTTGGGGGTCTTCCCCTTTTTGCTGACTCACCATGTTACCAAGCATGATGCTTCTCTCTGCAGACTGGTCCCTTCTGATAGTATGTCCGAAGTATGAGAGATGAAGTCTCGCCATTCTGGCTTCTAAGGAACATTCTGGCTCTGCTTCTTCAAGACAGATTCATTTGTTCATCTGGCATTCCAGGGTACTTTCAACATTCTCCAACACCATAACTCAAATGCATCAATTCTTATAAGGTCGTCCTTATTCATTGTCCAACTTTCACTTGCATATGAGGCACTTTTGAGTCAGAGGCACCTTAGTTCTCAAACTATTATCTTTTTTCTTGAACACTTTAAATAGGTCATGTGCAATAGATTTGCCCAATGCAATAGGCTGTTTGATTTTTTGACTACTGTTTCCATGAGTGTTGACTATTTTCCAAGCAAAATGAAATCCCTGAAAACTTCAGTCTTTCCTCCATTTATCATAATATTATTTATTAGTCCAGTTGTGAAGGTTTTTGTTTTCTTTATGTTGAGATGCAATTCTTACTGTAGGCTGTAGTCTTTGATCTTCATCAGTAAGTATTAAGTCCTCTTTACTTCCATTAGGCCAGGTTGTATCATCTGCATATGACAGGTTGTTAATGAGTCTTCCTCTGGCACCACCTTCTTCATATACACCAGCTGCTTAGATGATTTGCTCAACATACAGATTGAACAAGTGTGGTGAAAGAATGCAACCCTGGTGAACACTTTTCTTGACTTTTAAACCATTCAGTAACCCCTTGTTCTGTTTGAACGACTGCCCCTTGGTCTATGTAAACGTTTCTCATGAGCACAATTAAGTGTTTGAAATACCAGTTCTTCACATGTTATCTGTAGCTTGTCATTATCTATACAGTTAAAAAGCCTTTGCACGAGTAAACATCTTTCTGGTATTTGCTTTCAGCCAAGATCCATCTGACTTCAGCAGTGATACCTTTAGTTCCATGACCTCTTCTGAATCCACCTTGATTTTCTGGCAGTTCTCTGTTGCAGTGGTTTTTAAATGATCGTCAGCAAAATTTTACTTGCATCTGTTATTAGTGATATTGTTTGATGTTTTCTTCATTCTGTTCGGTCACTTCTCTTTGGAATGGGCACAAATGTGGATTCTTCAATTTCATCATCACTAACTTTAGTGGATGGTGTGGAAATTGGAGTAACAGTGATATTAACTGATCTTCCTGATAGGCATGTGGATATTATTATCCTATCACACTCAGCATTATACTTTATCGATCTTGAAATGTTCTTTGTGACAATAAATGGGGTGGCATTTCCTCTTCAGTTTGTTGTTCCTGATTGAAAATGGTTAATACCAATCCATTTTAACTCATTATTGTTTAGGATATTGATTTTATGCATACAATTTCATTTTGATGACTTTTAATATTCCTGGGTTCATAATTTGTACATTGCACTTTCCATTTGGTGGTAGTGATGGTGGTGGTTGTGTGCAATTCATAGCGAGGCTGTAAATCTTTATGGGAGCAGAAAGCCTCATCTTTTTCCTATGGAGTGATTGGTAAATTCTAAGTACTCACCTTGCCGTTAGCAGCCCAGCTTGTAATCCAGTATGCTACAGCTGTTTCTTCTCATTGGAGTTGTGCCCCATCTATAAATGGAAGTCCTGGAAGCTTTATTTCACTCATTTCTTTAAGGTCAGCTGTATGCTGGGGAGGCAGCTCTTCCCCAGTCATGTTTTGAGTGCCTCCCAACTTGAGAGGCTCATGTTCCATCATTACATCTAGCAGTGTTCTGCTGCTGTACATAAGGTTTCAGTGACTAACCATTCCTCCTCTCTACTCTGGCTCAGGCTGGAAGCTCTGCTGAACCTTGGATGACCTGCTAGTATTTTAGATAACGGTGGCATATCTTCCAGCATCACAGCATCACACAAGCCACCACAGTACAGACTGACAGACGAGTGGTGGTCGTCTTTTCTTAACATGGCTTATAAGAGTCTTTGTAACTGTTCCTATCCAAGTCTCCTCTCTCACCTTCTTATTCTTTATACTGTGTCTTATCTGTGTTCAAATGGTTTCTCATGCTTGAAATATTTCATCCCACCTTCCCCTACTAACCTTTCATGCCTCTTTAAGCCCCTTTCCATTATTCTACCTACAGAATGGCAATTTGGGAGAGTGGCACTATAGTCCTCCCAAGTTTCCGTATGCCTGTTTACAAAAGAACCAATAGATCTGTTTTGGAAGAAGTGCAGCCAGAGTGTTCCTTGGAGACCAAGATGGCCAAGCTTTGTCTCTCATATTTCGGGCATATTGTCAGGAGGGACCAGTTGCTGGAGGAGGATGTCGTGTTTGGTAAGGTGGAGAGTCAGAGAAAAAGAGGAAGACCCCCAACGAGATGGATTGGCCAAGTGGCAGCACCAGTGGACTCAAGCATGGCAACAATAGTGAGGTTGGCCTAGGATTGGGCAGTGTTTCGTTCTGCTGTGCATAAGGTCACCATGGGTCGGTACTGACTCGATGGCACCTAACAACAACAACAAATTTATAGTTTTGCCTGTGGAAGAGGGATTTCTTCACATCGATGTTTCCACCATCTGTCTAAGCCCTTGTAGGCAGTTTTGTCTCCCCAGCACCCACTACAGTGCTGGAGACAAGGAGCACACTCACAAGTGATTCTTTTTTCACTGCTTCATAGCAGGTACCGCACTAGGTGTTTTACTCACTAACTTACAGGTATTGCCTGAGGTAGGATTTGGGTGGGTGTTGTTGTTCAGTGCTATTCAATTGTTCCAACTCATAGCAACCCTGTATAGGGGTTCTGTGGCTATAAATCTTGGGTGCACTATTATCAGGGATCAATAATGTGGGATCAGACAGTAAAATAAGAATACAGGAAAGCCAATGAGGGTACATTATTGATATAGTTACTGCTGTGGGGAGCTGGGTTTCAGTCTGAGGAGGCCGTATAGAATGTATCTCTTTGAGGCTGGAACATGGGACCATTTGTCCACGAACTCTTCCTCACTGGCTGGAGATTTTCCCCAAGCATAAATGGTTCCATATCTGTACACTCTTCCGCTGGCTGGCTCAGAAAGCTTTGGAAAAGTACCCATGGCAGCAACAAGGCGTAGTGGATGCTTCAGGTGCTTTCAGCTGCAGCTCAAATCACAGGTGGGCGTAGGCACATTGTGAGGGGTCTTTGAAACATCTGCTGTCCATCACTATCTTTTTTAATCCTCCCAGCGGACCTCTGGGGGAAGACATGCTATCTTCTTTTCATAGTATCACAGAGATAGAATTTGAAGGCACTGTTGTCTAACTTCAAAGCTATTGCTCATTCCTTTCTGTTAGGTCTCTTTACAAGCATCCCTCCATTGAGCAGCCACTTGTTGAGCACTGATTATGCTCCAGGATGGGCTAGATGGTCACTGATGGACCAGCCAGGTTGACCACACTCATTTACAAGCCATACTTCCTTTTTGATGTGAGGAGTGATGGGGAAACTTTGCAATTGTCATGGACATCTTATGCCTCCTATATGTTCTTCTACCTAAACCCAGCCTGTATTCACATACCCATGGAGCCAACTCACCTGCTGTGTGCCTTGTGTTAAATTAACTTTGCTTATCTTTGAAATAGATACAGTAGTGTCTACCTTGTATTTAAACTGTTTAGAGGTTACATGGGAAATGCTACTTGGCATGGGTACATGCTACATGGCAGGGGCTTGCTCTGTTTAGTTGAGACAAAATCTGGTCAGTGGGGAGTGGGGAGTACTTGAGCTGAGCAGGGGATAAGTCTTTATGCTGTGTTAAGTCTTTACCAGAAGCTTAGCTGTCCATTCTCTTCCCTTTTGGAAAAACAGACCAGATCTTTTGAAAATGCTACGTGAACTACTTCTGGAACAAAAATGCTTGACAGAGCAAAGCATTTCTGGGGAACATGTTGATGGTAAAACCAAGAAGATGCTTAAGCAAATGGCCATTCAGCTGAGTGGGGAACTTGGACATTTCATCAGCGCCAACTCATTTTCCAAACCACATGATGAACTGAAGTCACCTTGGAGAACCCAGCTAGTAAAATTGGGTGAAATGTCCAAGGCAGAGCTGAAAGATGCCTCAGTACAGACTGTGGTCATGGAGGGTGACACTCTCAGATTCAAACATGAAGGAACCAGAGAAGCATGGCAAGAGAAACCAACAGATGCTGCATTCCGCACTGAGCATCAGCCAGAGAACTTGCACAAGGTGCCAGGGCGGAAGATCACGCTTTCTTTCCCAATTGGGACCAACAAAGTAAGTTTCTATCTGTATTTACACACACACACAAACACAAAACATTAACCTAACTAACAAACAGTTCTTATTAACTGATCACTTCCAATCTGACCATCGTTTTGCTTCATGTAATAGGTAAGTTTCATGTCTCCTTCTGCCTGCACTAATCCATGCCCTCCATCAAGAGTGTGCACCTTCCTAACTTCCCCGACAGGTTACCTTGGCTCCCCCGACTGCCCTTCCCATAGGACTACGCTAAGTGTTCTCCTTATATAAGGGGAATCACGGTTATCCCTGTGTCTTCAGCTGGTGTGGAGATGTGTCCAATTTGATATAATTCTTGACTTCTTGATAAACACTTACTTTTGCAGGTCATAATAAAATCATAATAACCTGACTTCTCAGCAGGAGCAGCAGGGGACTTGGGGGGGCATGCAGATGAGAACTTAAGTTGTATTTTTCTCAGAGGTACTGCTTTGAAGGCCTTGTCTACATTTTCTTATCTCTTTACAATGCCAGTTGGAGATGAGCAAGTGTAGCTATGGTTACACAGTGGTTTGGGGCCAGGCTGGGACTGTCCCTTTTCCAGATTCCATAGTCATTCCCTTACCCTGCATCAAGCCACTCCAACCCGTGGAGGACCAAAGTGGTAGCCTCTGGTTTTTGTTGTGTGAATATCTGTATGTTGATTTTGCATCCACCAAAATGCTATATCTCCTCTGAGTCTCCTCAAATATACCACATAGTTAAAAACCAAAGTCTCGTGGCAATGTTTGATTATTTTTCTCACTAAGATCTCCTTGGGGGTGAAAGTTGTGATTGAGAGTCCCCAAAGCAGAGAGATGTGAGTGTTCTTGTAGGAAATAGGAAGGAAATAGGTCATGTTTCTAATAGAGTTCCAGTGATGGCTGCTGCTATTCTTGTTTCTTATGGGTGTTTCGTATCTGAGAAATCAACTGTACACATTGCTTTACAGCATCAGAATGAAGAATTAAGTTTATTTTTTGACCACTAAATTACTGCTTTTGTACATAGCAAAGAGAGTTAGATATATCATTATCAAAATTGCTTTTGGTTGTTTTAAATTATGCACCCAAACTGTAATTTCTAGAAAAGGGTTTTCTAAAGATATCAGTAGAGAGAAAGAGAGAAAAAAATCACTGCCATATTAATGGTATTCAAGATGCAAATTTGTGCAATTTGGCTGGAATAAGAATGCTCTCATCTGCCCCAGCTCCTTCAGTGTGTACCTCTTTATTAGTAAAACTAGGAGGGTTTTCCTCCTTCCTCTACGTAGGAGTATCATTGTGTGTTTGGAAAATTGGATAATTGAGCAAACTTAATTTCCCCAAATATATTGAATTTTTTTTCTTTATAGTTTGGAGTCACCTTTCTTGCTTGTGCCTTCAAAAGGAAGGAAACTCTGACTCCTTCTCCCCTTCCCTGCCTTTGTTCTGTGTGCCAGGCATTGTACCTGATACTGTGTATATACATCATCTAATTTAATCTTCTCACTGAGGTATGATAAGTCAGGTGGGGATTATCTTTATCTTAGCATGATGGAATGGAGGCTCTGAAAGACTCAGAAAATTATCCCAGGGTGATTTCATTTGTAACTGAAGCAGTTGGGATCTAAGTTAAGGTCTGGTTTGAGAGGCAGACAGAGATTTATAAACCTATCATTCTCAGAGAAGAAAGAGTTCTCCTACCATCAGCATGGTCTACAGTCTCTGTAAAGTAGGAAAAAATGATTTTCTTTCTGGTCTTTGGTCAGTGAAGGAGTCGATAATCCTGTTAAAAGGAGCGTCATTGAATCCTAAAGATGAGACAAGGAGACCGGATATACTTATGGCTGTTTAGCTACAGAGAAAAGCTACACTGTGTTTACTTCCAGGTCTGTCCACTTACCTGCTGTAAGTCCTTGGGTAAGTCACCTGACCTATCTCAGTATCTGGGGAATGGAATCAGTATGACCTAGAGGCTGAAGCTTGCATAAGGTAATGTGTATAAGTACCTAGTGGAGTATTTTGTGTTTTGTAGGTTCTTGGTGAATTTCAATTCCTGTCCTCCTTCCCTTCTCAAGTTAAAAGTTTCATTATGACATCTTTAATAAGGTGGTAGGTGGAGACTCTGTTCAGTGCCCATAAGGTAGCATTTTGCGTGGCGTTATTTTGGAACCGGCATTAGGGTGACTGACAGCAGCCTTCCAGCCTGAAATTGGCTTTGGCATTTGTGCACTTGCAGATATCTTTTCTGCTACCATCTGACACACAGATTTGGATCCAAGAATAAAGACTGGTGGAGAGCTAAGCAAATGACTGTTATTTTCCAGCTCTTTTTGATGGAGCGTTCAGCTCCTCCCACTGGTCCCCCTCACCATCTCAAGCTGCTCTTGTCCTTGAACCTGTTATCTCTCTTCCACCCTGAAATATCATGGCAGAAAGAATCTCAGCTTTTCTTAACTGAGCCCTGAGTCCTGGATTCTGAAGGACTAGTGTAAGTTCTGGCTCTGTAACCTTAACTGTGTGGCATAGACTCATTGTTTGACATCTTGGTTTCTTCTTCTGGAAAATAGGGATGACCACTTTTGTTGCCCTGTGAGCTCTTGGAGTGTAGAGTTTACTAGAGAATGATGTGAGAATATGCATTTCACATCGTACTGTGTGCACGGAGGTGTCCTTATTCTTCTTGAAAGCCTCTGATGGTTGCTCATTTCCTGGTTGCCACATATTTCCTGTTTTCCCCTTAACATTCCCCCTCCATTTTTTTATGTGTGTAAGTAATAGCTTTATTGAGATATAATTCATATAGTACAGTTCACCCATTTAAACTTTGGTATAATTCTGTGGCTTTTAGTATATTCCCAAGAGTGTACAACCGTTACTAGAATCAATTTTATAACACTTTCATCACCCCAAAAGGAAACCCCATTAGCAGTCACTCTCCATTTACCGCCACCTCCCACCTCACCCAGCCCTATGTGACCAATAATCTGTCTTTACAGAGATCCCTTTTCTGGTCATTTCATATACATGGACTCATACAATATGTGGTCCTTAGTGACTGACTTTTTTTACTTGGAATACTATTTTCAAAGTTCATTCATATTGTAGCATGTATTAGTATTTCATTAATTTCATTGCCAAATAATATTCCATTGTATGAATATACCACATTTATTTATCAAGTCATCCTTTGAACACTTGGGTTGTTTTATACTTTTTGGCTGTTAAAAATAATGTTGCTATGAAAATTCATGTAGAAGTTTCTGTGTGGACATAATGTTTTCATTTCTTTTGTGTATGTTGGTAGGAGTTGAATTGCTGGGTTATGTGCTAACTTTGTTTAATCATTTGAGGAACTAACAGAGTGTTTTCCAAAGAAGCTGAATGATTTATAAACCTCCTAGCAGTGTGTGTGGATTCCAGTTTCTCCACATCCTCATCAACACCTGTTATTATCTTTTAAATTATAGCCACCCTAGTAAGGTATTTCATTGGTTTTGATTTGCATTTCCCTAGTAGCTAATGATCCTGAGCATATTTTCAAGTGCTTATTGCCCATTTGTACAGAATGTCTATTCAGATCTTTGCCCACTTTTTCAATTGGATTATTTGCATTTTTATGTTGTTGTTGTTCAGTGCCATAGAGTCGGCTCATTGCATTTTCATAAGTCAGTTGAAAAAGTTCCCTAGATTCTAGATTCAAGTCCCTCTTCCCAGCTTTGAATATATTTTAAATTTCCCATTTGAAAAACACCCCCATTTGTCCTCTTAATTTATTGTTTGTATGTTCATTCCACAAATAGTAGTTGAACACCTGTTATACATGAGTCCTTGTGCTGGAAGCTGCGGCTATAGCATGACTAAGATATGTAGAGCCCCTTAACCCTGACATTTAGCGGCTGGTACAGAAGATAGACAAGGAACAAGTAATGGCACAGGCATTTAAATTTATTGCTACAGAGACTCCTGGTGTGGCACTGTAGGGTAAGCACTGGACTGTGAACCACAAGGTTTGTGGTTCAAAGCCACCAACTGCTCTTCAGAAACCCTATACAGGGTCACTGTGAGTTGAAATTGACTCGATAGCCCTTAACCAACAAACAGCATCAAATGTCCTTGAGAATTATAAGGGATAGTGAGTGCTTATAACAGAGAAACCTAAGGGTTTGGAAATCAAGAGCCATTCTTGTGAGGAAGGTATGTTTGAGCTGAGTCTTAATGAATGACTTGGAGTTAGTGGGAGAAGTGAGGGTGGTAAGAAAGAGTGGTACAGTGCATGCCAATGCCAGGAGGTGGAAAGGACATGCTGTTTGAGAAATTCCTAGGAGGTCAGTGTGGCTGTAAGTTAGGGTGAAGTGGGACAGGAGCCATAATTCAGGCTGCAAGCCATGCTCGGCTTTGTAGCTGTGGTAAGGAATTTGACCTATATTGTAAGGGAATTAGGAGACAAATAAAATGGTTTTTAAGAAGAGAGAAATGGTAGATTTGCCCTTTTTTGTTGTTGAGTATGGAGAGTGGATTAGAGAGAGCCAGAGTGAATGTGGGAAGAGCATGCCAAGGCTGTTGCAGTGGCCTTGGTAAACGTTACCAGTGGCTTGGGGTTGGGCAGTGGAATTAAGAAAAGTACAAAGAACTGAGAAATAATTCCAGAGCTAGAATTAGTGGAACTTGGTAAATGAAGAAAATGGATGGTGAGAATCAAGAAAGGGTTCTTTTTTTTCTTCTTAAATGTTTTATTGTAAATTATGTGATAGTTTACATGGGAGAACATTAGTTTTACATTCATTCTATCGTGTATCGTCTCATTGCCATGGTTACAATCCCCTCCATGCAATCCTTCCACCGTACACCCCAGGTCTTCAGCACACAGTTGCTCTCCCTCTCTGGATCTAAAGTCTCCAGCTGCTCCATCTCTCCACGTCATCATCTCTGGCTCCATTTCAGGCATCACTGCTTCTCTGGGTAGGGTCCTGCTCTCTGCTCTTCTCCCTTGATGGTCCCAGGGACCTCCGCTCCTAGACTGAAAAGTTAATCACTCCCCTCCTTGCTATAAAACATCTACCTTTACATTTCCAACCCTCATAGTCAGTCCTGATAACAATTATTCACTATTGTATCACAAGAGACCCGTCTGCATTTCATTGCATCAGCCCCACCTAGTCAGATTGAATGCTACTCACTGGAGATTCTACCTTCCTCCAGGCCCTCTGGATCTAGGTTCCCTCTTAAAAGCTTGTAAGCCAGTCACTTCTTGCCTTTGTAGCCCCCTCCCCCCCATTTTGGGTAGCCAATGTCCAAGTTGCCCATCCCTGTCTACTCTGTGTGTGGAGGGGGTGGGAATGATTCTTGCTGTAAGGACTTGTTCCCTCATTTGAGCTACTGCTTCCATAGGTGTAGGTCAAGTTCATCAAATTGTATGAGAATACTTTTTTTTTTTTCCCCCTCTTCTTTTTACTTCTGGTTGAGCTCTGATCATCCAGTCACTGAAGCCAGGATAAGTGGATATTATCTGCAAGTGTGGGTGTTCTTATTCATATGCGCTCTCTTCTTATCAGCTGGACGCTTCACTCTCCACTCTAGTCCTCTGTGGCTATGTTACTGACTCTGGGCCCAAGAGTCCCCAGGTCTTGCCACACTGCTGGCCAACCAGGTCTTCACCCGGGTTCACTCTATTGAATGTTGTAGGGCTTAGTTCACTGCTTCATTGCTGTTTTTCCCTCACTTCCCCTTATCGGTGTTGAGTGTGGTCACCAATCACAGCATGTATTCCCATTGAGTCTTAGTCTTGGAAGGGGGTTTGCACTGAGGGGACCCGACCACTTGCCTTGATGTTTCCTGGGCAAAAAGAAGGGGTTCTTATTTTTTTTGAGAGACTTTTGTGATTTTTCTCATTTCCTGACTCTCAGATTATTTCCTGTTTGCCTCTTAATTCCTCAATGATGCTCCCAGATTTCTGGGTGTAATGTACTGTAATGGAGTGATTCACTGAAAATGGAGACTGTTGCAGTGGTGTATCTTTGGGAGTGGGGGTATAGAGGCAATGGATTGAAGTGAGTTTTCAGTTGGCTTTGAAGTGCCTGTAGTCCATCACAAATGATGAGGTCTAGGATAGGCAGATTGAGTGGTCTGTCCCAGAAGACTTTTGTAAGGGGCGGTTCTTGTTGACTAGCCATGGTAGCTAATGAGGGAGATTGGCTTAGATTGAGGAATGAGTGGGAAGTAAGTAGAAAGTAAGATAGGGAGCAGAAAAATTGTTTCCCAGAACAATTGTATTGGAAAAGAATTGCTGTATACTGTGTGGGTGTCCCTGGCTAGTAACTACTGTTAACCGAAAGCTTGGCGGTCCATGTCTACCTAGAGAAAGAACTGCCAATCTACTTTCAGAAAATCAACCATTGAAAACCTTATGGAGCACAGTTTTATTCTGACACACATGGGTCACCATGAATTGGAGTTGACTTGACTGGATGGCTAATATGGAACACCTGGACTGACCAGAGATCCAGTGGACTAGGACCAAGAAAATACCAAGGAGGGAATGCTTGATAGTTGTTAATGAGAGAAGGGACCTGCCAAGATATAAACTCTGTGGTCTACGGGATAAACATAGATGGCATCATAGGACCCAGTAGTCTGGGCAGCCAGTTTGATATGGTTGGCATTAAAGTTAACTGCAATCAAAGGAATGTATATTTATTGCTGTGTACGTGTTTGCTTTCAGGATACTAAGAAATCCCGCTTGCCAATCTTAGTAAAACCATCCTGGTCATTAGGAAGTGTTTATCGGTTCTCTGCCACCCAGGAGGTCATGGCTCAGCTTCAAAACCAGATCATGGAGCTGCAGGGGGAACTGAAGGAATTTAAAACTCGAAACAAACAACTTCACCAAAAGTTAATTCTGGCTGAAGCAATGGTGGAGGAGAGGCCAACGCTGGACAAAATGCTACTGAATGGTAAGCACAAAGAAAAATATATTTTCTGTGGACTAGATGTACAGGACAATAGAACTGATTAAAATGTCAACTTTGTTGTTTAGAATTACAAATTAATGAACTGCAATTGTTAGTTCTGACTCCTGACAAATGCAGAACAGAGGGAACACAGTGAGGAAAAGGATTCTGTTGTTTTTATTTTATTCTGGAGTGTGCATAAAGGCCCTTGTGGTGCTCACAGTTATTGAGGGTCACTGCTCCTTCGAGTTTGGATTGTGTGCAGGTGCTACAGTTGTGGGATGACTTGAATCTGGGCCTTTAGTTTAGTCTATGGAAGCCTTAATCTGTAGAAAAATGTCTGACTCCTCTTGGTAGAGTTCTCTGGAATGTTCTGGCAATACCTGTTGGAGTTCCTCTGGGCTAATTACAAACCCTACTGACCTTATGTCCTCTTCCAGAAATGACCTGCCTTCCTACCCACCGTGAATCTGCTGCCTCTACTCATGGGGCCAAGAAAATAGAGAGCCGTGGATCAGAGTGTGTCTAGTCAGAGTACACAGACTTGGAGGGAGAGGCTCATATGATTTTCTAGTCCAGGGATTTGGAGACCACTGGTCCTTTGAGAATCCATGGAAAACAGAGGGCTCTCTCACAGAACAATATAAGTGTGTAACATTTTGTGTCATTTTCAGAGGATTCACAAATCCATAAAAGTATCTATGTTGAATCTAGATTTTGAACCCTGATGTAAGCAAAAGACAGCAACACACAGAAACAAAACAGCAACAGTGATATCTTATGTGTAGATCCAGGTCTGTTTGTTAAATAGTGTTCTAGACCTTGATGATATGGCAGTAAACACAAAGTCTGTGTCTAGTTTGTATTCTTGTGCAGAGAGAAACATAGGAAGTGTGAGGTGAGAGGAGCTCTGGAGGAAAAAGAGGCTGAATGAAGGGCATAGGTAATGTGGAGTGGAAGCAGGATTTCCTAATGTGTATAGTGTCACAGAGCCTCCCAGAGGAGGAGACATTTAAATGGAGATGGCTATGGGGAAAGTAGCTCTGGCAATGCTGTAGAATTAGTACTGGACTGCTAACCCACCAGCCACTCCAAGGGAGAAAGATGGGACTTTCTGCCTCATTAAAGATTTACAGCCTCAACATGTTGCTGGACCTGGGGGCTTAGGATCATAGTCTCAGAGGACATAGCCCCCAAAGACAATGTTCTACCTCCTACTTTGGTAAATAGAGACTGAGATCTTTAAAGTTCATGAGCAGCTATCTAAGGTGCAACTATTGGTCTCTCCATGTACAGATGAATGAAGAGTGTTGAATATTGAATGGAATCAGTTAGTCCAGTAGACTGATGGAACATGTGAACCTCAGTCACTATGACTCTGAGACCAGAACTCAATGGTGCCCAGCTACCATTACCCACTGCTCTGATAGAGATCATATTAGAAGGTCCCAGGCAGAGTGGGAGAAAATGTGGAACAAAACTCAAAATTATAAAAAAAAGATAGTCTTACTGCTTATAAACATATTGGAGGAACCCAAGACTGTGTGGCAATTTTTCTGGTCTGGAACAGAACTCACCCTTGTGGCCCAATTTTCAACCAAGCTGTAGATAGGTCTATAGGAGAGCAGCCACATTAGTGAGTATGCTCACCGTGGCTTGGTCAACCATTCAAGATCAGAAGGGCAACATTTACTTAAGGACAAAGTTCAGAAGGGTTGGGAAAGAGGGTGGAATGGAAATAAGAACCACAGGGTAGACCTGGAGTAACTTTTATAATGTGGAGGGAATTATAATCAAGATGAAACAAAGTGTATGATTTGTTGAATGCAAAACTGATACAGTCTGCAAACCTTCACTCAATTCACAATACAAAGTTTAAAAAAATTTTATAGTCTCAGAAACTCTTTACAGAATCACTGTGAGTCGGAATGGACTCGATGGCAGTGGGTGTAGGTATGAAGGGTGAAAAGTGGGGCACAGTTAGGGAACATGAAATGTGAACAAACTAGCCATCGTAACAGGCGTGTTCCTGGCAGAGGGAACAATAGGAGCAAAGGCTCTCATGCTGTTTTGAACTTGGGAAGTCAGGTCAATAGTAAGAAGATCAGCTATCTGATTGGAGCGGAGTGTTGTAAGTAAGGTCAGGGAGGTAGCAGATTATGTAGGACTTCACAGGATGCTCTATGGCTTTGTCTCTTACTCTAGGTAAAATTGGGAACTGTTGGTCAGTTTAGAGCAAAAGAGAATTGCATGATCCAGTTTCGACTTTAAAGCAGAGGTTATCAGATTATGACCTATAGGTCAAGTTGAGCTTGTGGCCTCTTAAATCATGTTTTACTGGAACATAGGTCCATTCATTTACATGTGGTCCTAGCACAACTTTTGTGCTAAGATAATCAGAGTTGAATGGTCTGCAAAGCCTAAAATATTTATTATCTGACCCTTTAAGAAAAAGTCTGCTTTTAATGTGAACAGTTGGAAGGGCGGTGTTGTGAGATACATCGAGATGGGAAAGACTGCAGGAGAGGCAGCCTTGGGGGGACATTAGGTTTCTGGCTTTGGATTTATTTGAGATGTTTGCTGACATTCCCAGCAATGCCAAGTAGACAGTTGGGGATAGATGTGTTTGGAGTGGAGGAGAGAGGTATGGGTTAGAGATAGGAATCTAGGAAATATTAACATATTGTTGGTATCTAAAGATATATGAGAATTGGAGACTTAGGGAGAGAGTATAGATAGAGAAGGGAAGAGGTACAGGGACTGAGCTTGGAGTGCCCCAGCAGTTAGAGGTTAGATTGATAAGAAGCAGCCACTGCTTCTTGGAGGGGAACCACGGGATAATGATGCCCCAGAAGTTGAGTAAAGAAAGTGATCTGGGACTGATCAACTGTAGGAAACATGGCTAATAGGACAAGTAAAATGAAGATTAAGGCTTGGCTACCAGATTTATCAAGTGGAACGCATTCAAGGTGACCTTGAAGGGAGTTGCTTCAGTGGCATGAGCAGGGCCTGATTGGCATGGGTTTGAGAGAGAATGGAGGAGGATTTGGAGATAGCAAGAATAGAAAAATGCTGAGGAATTTATTATAAAGAGCAGTAGGGCAGTTAGGCGCTAAATCTGAAGGACTTCAATGAATCCGAGGACTGTAGACGAATGCAGTAAGGTGAGTCGTCAGTGGTACTGTCTCATGGCATGCGTGTCAAAGCTGGAGTTTAAGGAACAGAGAGAACGATCTGTCCCTAGGCGCTAAGATGCTTTCCAGGCCCATGCATTCAGGGACTGGGGAAAGAAACCTGCACTGTTGTGAAGACTGCAAGAGAAGCAGTGTCCTCAGGGAACAGCCTAGCTCACTTGAGCAAGAGGGTGAGGTGAATATTCATAGAGGAGCTTGAGGTTGTTTGGGATTTTGCCAATGAAGGGTATGAATATCAGGCAGATTGCCTCAAACTAGAGGATTCCAGAGTGGTTCAGGGATAGGAGATGCCTGCATAAGAGCATTGGGCTTCCTATAGTAATAATAATAATAAAACAAGTAGCTGTTATTTATTGAACTTTGATATATTCCAGTTATTTTAGATACATGAGCTAATTGGATCCTCAGCATCTCTGTGAGGCAGGTGTAGTCCTTATATCCATTTTATTGTTGAGATAAGTGATTTTGCTATGATCACAGTAGGCTACATTGAACTAGCTTGCCTGATTTTAAAACCTGTGTTTCTTCATCATCTAGTCACAATATCTCATGTATGGATTTTATGATGACTGTAGCCAGAGGTATTTTCCATTTAATTTTAGATTCCTTCTGGTATTTACCACAAATCAGGTTTAGGATAAGTTGACCTTTGGCAGCATTGCTCTTCCCTCATTTTTCACCTTCCACTCACCCATTCATTGAGGCATCTATTCATGCATTCAGCAGCTGCTGTGTCCTCCTGTACTGGGTATGGGAGAGAAGGAGATGAGCCAGACAGTCTCTGCCGCTGAGAGCGCCTCGTCTTCCTGGGGTGTAGAGTTGAGAGGGCATGAGAGAGCAAATAATTTAAAGGAAACAGTGCTGGGGGCTGCAGAGAGGAAAGGTTTTATAGCAAAGGTGACTCAGCCCAGCAGCATCTCTGGCATTTTGCCAGGGTCTCGCTGCTTCACTGAGCAGTGTTGTTAGTTCTTGCTGACACCCCAGGGTGCCTCAGCCAGGTGCTAGTTCGACAGTTGCCCAGTCCAGAAGTCCGTGGGGTCTCTTTCCTTTGGGAAAAGTGGGCATGAGAGTTCATTTTCTCATTCATGGTTTTTTGAGAGCTCGGACTTAAACCATTTCAGACTAGCTGTAGTATATTTATGCTTTTTATGCCCTGTTATGGCAGCTCGATAGATTAATTTTATCTTATAAATTGCCTTTTGCCTCCCCAGTGTTTTTATTTTCCCTGTTGTATCTTTGTGTTCTTCTCAGTTGCTTGGCTAAATTTCAAGTCTGTAGTTTTATTTATTTTTCTTTCTCTTTCCGAATATCTCTAGCCCAGCCCCTTGTGGGAGCAGCCGACCAGGGCAGCCCAGGAGAGCAAAAAGGAATTAAAACCACACCCTATATTTGGAGAGACAAAGAAATGGACAGTGATCAACAAACAAGCGACGAGACTGGTAAGCATTCAGCCCCAACATGAACTAATAGTTACTATGTTCCAGACACAATTTGGGATGCTTTATGTAAAAATCATTACTAAACCTCACAACAGCCCACTGAGGTAGTCCTCATTTTCCCTATTTAACATGCGAGGAGCTGAGCTTTATTAAAATAACTGGCCCAAGGTCTCCCACTTTGTAAATAGATGGATGGGTCAAGGCACAGTAGGCTATCTTTTGAGCCCACCAATCCATTTACCAAACATTGTTCTACCAGGCAGTGGGCTGGGTCCTGAAAAGACACCCTCTGCTCTGAAGGGATCTCACAGATGGTGGAGAGATCTTCCTAGCAGTCAGTTCATTGCCCGGCATGGCTGTTGTTGGGGAGGCGTGGCCAGAGGAGAGCCTGCTGCCCAGATGGGGAGTTGGCAGGTAGATTAATGGAAAGGTGTAGAGATGTGAGTGAGGTCACAGGCAAATAGCATTCTTTTTTTTTTCTAAATCAGAGGGCATTGTATGTTTATATAGAAACACAAAGGATGACATAATACATACTCAGGTTCCCATTCAACCAGAACGAGTATATTCTTACAGCTTTTCTTTTGTTGCTCCTGGTTGGCTGTCTTCGAGACCTTTCTGACTCATAGTGACCCTGTATAGAGTTTCCAAGGAGCAGCTGGTGGGTTTGAACTGCCAACCTTGTGGTTAGCAATTCCGTGCTTATTCTATAGCACTTTTAGTAAAATACTCACGTACATTGCAGAATCACCTTTGACTTGGACCTAATTCATTCTGTAAGAAATGTTCTCAGGAATGCTGAAGCTGTCACAGGATGGCTGTGCAGACAGCAGTCTAAGTTGTGGTTCCTGTGACCAGTCATCTGTACTTTCCCAGGGCTTCCACTCCATGCAGTGGACACATGAGCATTGCTTGTGGAGTCTTCAGGGGTTTCATGGAGTCACTAGGTCATAAAATATCCTTTAACTGAATTGTGGAAAGTTGCAGAACTGCACATTTTTTTATAATGTAAATAATGTTCCTGGGGACATCTTTTGGTTTCTTGTACGGAGTTAGTGATTTAAAAAGTTCCTTGACTGATTGACAGTTTCCCTTTACCTCTTCATCATTACTGGCCTTCTTTCATGTCTCTGAATGTGCTTCTAGAACTTTGTTCCTGCTACCGCCTCTGCCTCAATCTCCCCTTCTCTCCCATTGTTGCTTAGCTAGTGCCTCATTCTTTAGATCTCTGCTTACATGTCACTTCCCAAAGGAGGCCTTCCCCAATTCCTCAGTTATTTCTCATTAGCCCTGTGTTTTCCCTTTCAACACTGATTGATCTTGAATTGACTTGCTCAGTGACTGCTCACTGCAAGACTGGGTATTGTGTGTGATATCTTCATTGCTGCTTCTTCAGTAGCCACTGTGCAGGTACTTGACGAATGAGGATGGTCCCACACCTGTTATTGGCCTTTGCCAATAGGGTTGAGGATTCTCTCTCTTTGCTCTGGGACTCTTGACACAGGAAGGCAAGCATCCAGCCTGTTGTCAGGTTGTCAGGCTTTGACCAGGGCTCTGCTGCTTACACAATCGGAATCTTGGGCAAGTAGTTACCTTCTCTAAGCCTTGATTTCCAATTCTGTCAAATGGGGACAGTAGTTATACCTCATAGGTGATTGTGAAGCTTAAATGGACTCTTAATGCCTACACCAAGTCCTGACACACAGTTAAATGCCGAGACCTTGGTAGATCTCCAGGGTCACCTGTACACTCCCCTCTACAAACCTTCATGCACTGATATTTACAGGAAAGTGTAAGCTACTCCTTCAGGCCTCTCTTGAGTTGTTTTCTGAAGACTACTGAGCAGAGACTAGCAAAACCTCTGATAGCCGATGCTGGACTAGCAGACTTGCTGTAAGCTGACATTGGAGCTTACTAATCATACCTTTACTTCTGCCAGATCACAAATTGCTGTCAATTGTAGACTTTTGACAGACGATTTTGAAGTCAAAATTATGAGCGTTAAGTCTGAATTTTATGTTTGTTGCATTTGCAAGGAGCAAGTTTAAAGTGGAGGTCTGAGTATATGAGGAGGCTTCAAAAGAGTTCATAGAAAAACTTCACTTCCTCTCAATTCCATTTTCCATGAGAAAGGTATATGTATTGCATGTGGCTAACCACGTGAGCTGGCTACAGTCTGTAAGGGAATATTTGTAGCAACTCTTTCTAAAACAGAAAGGTTTATCTTATGGCACTTAACATAACAGCAACAACACCAACATTGTGTGAGTGGACAGACATGGTTGGACGTAAGCCATGAAGAGCAGGTTGCAGAAGCAGAGATTGGGTCATACAGTTTCCTGATACAGGATTTTCATGTTTCTATCCCACAGCATTGCTTTCACAGCCCTTCCCCAGGTGCTCCACCTTCACCTCTAGTGACAAGCATTTGCCTTCCTCTTTGAGCAGTTGTAGGGAGCCAACGGTGTTAGTAATTAGTTGGGCTCCTTCACTAATGTGTGATAGGCTCTATGTTCTCTCTTCACAGTCATTATTCTGTTTAATCCTAAAAGCAAAATGAAACAAAAACACAGAGCCCTTCCCAGTGGATGATGTTCTCTCCATTTTATAGATGAGGCTATTGAGACTTAGCAACGTTAGTTCTACTTAAGGTTGGGCATGGAGCCTTGGTGTGGCACTGCAGGTTAATGTGCCTTGCAGTTTGAATCTGCAAGGTCGGCGGTTCAAGTTCACTAGCCACTCCTCGGAAACTGTATACAGGGTCACTATGAGTTGGAGCCAGCTTGATGGTACTTAAGAACAACAACAAGGTTGGTCATGCAGGTGCCTTGGTAGCGTAGTGGGTTATGAGTGGAACGCTAATCGCAAGGTCAGCAGTTTGAATCTACCAGCTACTCCCATTAAGATTACAGCCTCAGACATCGTATACAGGATCATTGTGAGTTGGCACTGACTTGATGGCACAAAACCACCACCACCAAGGTCGGTCATATAGCTAGTAAGTGGCAGAGCCAGAACTTGAAACCAGGTCTGTTAGATTTCAAATAATGGATTTTTCTATTATATTCTACTGCCTCTTTAGTATCGAATCACTCAGGCATCAGGTGTCTGTGAAGTCTCATAGCAACTGGACTAGACATTTCTTTCTTCATTTTACACACAGGGGAAACTGAGACTCTGAGATACAATTACTTGCCTAAGTGGTAGAACTGGGTGTGATTCTGTTTCTCCTTGACCTCAAAGCTGTGTATGTATTTTTTGCTGTACCACTCTGCCTCTCAGACAAGCGTGAGTGCATCTGCGAAGATGGAAACTAGCTCTAAGGACCTGTTTCCTTGCATGGATGAGTTAGTGAAGCAACTTCTTAAAGGACATCATAGCATTTTGTGGAAACTGATCGACATGGAAATGAGAAGACTCTTACCTGCTATGGGTGTTTAGAATTACTGTTCTGTATGAGTCCTGGTGTGGTGCTGTGGGTTAATGCTCAGGACTGCAAGGTCTGTTTGAACCACAAGCTTGGTGTGTCAAGCTCACCAGCTGCTCCTCAGAAACCCCATACAGGGTCGCTGTGGGTTGAAACCGACTCGACAGCACTTAACAACAACAACAAGGTTACTGTATTGATGAATTTGAGTTATTATGTTGAAGGAGAATATTAAAAGTACCATGACTTCCAGAAGAACACACAAATCTGTGTTGGAAGAAGCCAGAATGTTCCTTAGAAGCCAGGATGGCCAGACTTTGTCTCTCATGCTTTGGATTTGGATGTATTATAAAGAGGGACCAGTCCCTGGAGAACAGCATCATGCTTGTTAAAGTGGAGCGTCATCAATAAAAGAGGAAGACCCCCAATGAGATGAATTGCCACAGTGGCAGCAGCAATGGGCTCAAGCATAGCAACAATTGTGAGATTGGTGCACGACTGGGCATTGTTTCATTCTGTTGCGCATAAGGTCACGTTGAGTCGGAACCGATTCAATGGCACCTAACAACAATAAGTTTACTAAAAGGATCCCTCATGGCATAGTGGGTTATGCAGTTCAAACCCACTAGCCACTCCCTGGGAGAAAGACGAGACTGCCTGCTCCCATCAACACTTGCAGTCTTGCAAACCTTGTGGAGCAGTTCCGTTCTGTCTTATTTGGTCTCTGTGAGTTGGTTTTGGGGTTTGGAAGGCTTACTGCACTCATTCCCCCAGTATTTGAGACCTTCCCTGACTTTTGATCTGGATTGGGAACTGCACTAGCACTGAGGATACAGAGATGAAAAGGAAGTCATTGATGAGAAGAACTTTTAGTCTAGCGAGGGAGAGGGGCAGTCACATAACTGTTGTCTAAGTAACTGTTAGTGTAGTTGGTGTGTTAGCACCCAAGACACAGTATGTTTGTCATGGATACTATGTGTAAAGTCTGTGGACGCACAGAGGGGAAGGGCTGTTTAGCATAGTTTGGAGATGCCCTGGCAGAGGAAATAAAATTGAATGTGGGAATTAAAGGATGAGTAGGAGTTTCAAGTAGAGAAAAGGACCAAGGGTATTACAGGTCCAGGGGAGCAGCACATCCAACAGGGTGGAAGCATGAAGCTGCTCTATAGTTTGTGCAGCGAGTTGTTGCTGGGTTAGTTGAGACTCTCCATCAGTGCTACCAAGTGTTCCTGGGAAGGTTACGTGGAACTAGATCATGGAAGATTTCAGGTGTTCTGCTGGGAAGTTTGCATTTGATCCTCAAGACAGGCAGTGACTGATCAGTTTCATGGTTAAATTCAGTTTTAGAATAGTGTAAAAAATAACACATCAACCATCCCTCCACAGTCTCTATTCAACTGGGGCCGGTAATCCACTGCAGTGGCCACACAGAAGTTTGACCGCATACTCATTGTTGTGGGTTTTAGTAGGGAAGTTCACAAGTTACAACTCAGGGTCAGAAATGTTCAGGGCACAGTTGTTCCAGTCAGCTACTGATAAATGCCCACAGGACATACCACTTCACAATGAGCCTCAGTCTGAAGGCACTCAGCTTTAGTTCCATGGGTTAGCAAATCTGGCACCCCCACTTTAGTGTCACAGTATGAGCAAGCTTCCTGCCCAAAGTCCCTCAGCTTGACTTGCATCATGGTCGGGCACGCCCACTGTTGTGCCTTGTGCTCTGGCTCCTTTGTTCTGCTGCTCCTCTGCTCCTTCTGGTGCCACAGCTTTCTGTCTCTGAGTCAAGGAGGTTCAGTGTGTAGGGGTCTCGGGGTCTAAAGGATGTGTCCCACTCCTGGCTCTTCTTTGATGAAGATCTTACTATCGTAAGATCACCCCTCCTGCTTCTGAGATGGCTCATTTTAAACCCGTGCTAGACTTTCAAGTTTTTATAGTAAAAATGAACTCGGCAAACATTCACAGCTGAATCATGTTATCCTATCAGTATCTTCTCCCACCTTCTCTTTTCCATATTTGTTTGCTGCACATGTGCCTTCGGCTCATAGCAAACCTGTACAGGGTTTCTGAGGCTGTAAATCTTTACAGGAGCAGAAAGCCTTATCATTTTCCCTCACAGTGACTGTTAAATTTGAACTGCTGAACTTGCAGTTAGCATAGTGGGTTAGTAACCCACTATGCTACCAGGGCTCCCCATAGTATATTGTTGTTGTTGTCAAGTGCCGTCAAGTCGATTCTGACCCAAAGCGACCCTGTATAGGGTTTCCAAGGAACAGCTGGTGGTGAGCTTGAACCGCCGACCTTGCACTTCAAACAGCTTTGCATTAACTAACCCACAGCACCACACCAGGTGGCTATGTCCACAGCACACCACCACCATCATGACATTGAGTCCTGGATATTAGGAGGTGATTAATGATATTGTCCATTGTTCGGCCTCCACGAGCTCTACAGCTCCTTGGCAGTGTTTAGGGAGTGACTCATCAGTGGGGTTGGCTGTTGTCCATTCCTGAAAAACCTAGTAGGGCAAAATGTTGTTGGGTGGGAGTTACAGACTGTGACTAGAAATGAGATTAGATAATTAACTATACCACACATTGTTACTCTGAGGAAGAGGATGGATTAAAGAAGAAAGACTAGAGGCAGGGAGTCTGGATAGAAATGCCACTTGGTTGTGAGAAAGAGAGAGGGGCTGGATTTCAGCACAGGAAATAACTGACATACATGTATTTGATTTTCAGATTCTGAAATTTACCAGCCTGATGACCTTGCCATCTTGCCAGCCTGCAAGGAGAATCCTTCTGAAGATTTTTTGGGCACAACTTCAGTAGCTACTTACTTGAGTTCTAAGAGCCCGCTTTCTGTTAAAGTCAGCGTGATTGAGACTGATCAGTCTGACAACACTGATACTGCAATTAATACAGAATACTTAAAACAGAAAGTTCGTGATTTAGAAGCTGAGCTCAAGGGCTACCAGAATTTTTTATTTCAGCTTCAGTCCGGGAAACACTCCCAGTGCAGTGAGGCCATTATCACAGTTTTGTGTGGGACAGAAGGAGCTCAGGAAGGCTCGAGCAAGCCCAAGGGCAGTAATGATGATGAAGAAATGACCTTCTCTAGTTTACATCAAGTTCGCTATGTAAAACACATGAAAATCCTCCGTCCCCTGACCCCAGAAATGACTAATGGGGGGATGCTGGAGAACCTCAAGCAGCATCTGGTGGAACAGGAGTATGAGCTACAGAAAGAGCAGAATTTGAACATGGAACTATTCAGTGAAATCCATAATCTTCAGAATAAGTTTAGAGATCTTTCACCCTCAAGGTACAGCCCATTGTTTAAGCCTGCAGTTCCCCTCTACTTCCACTAGGGTGGAGCCTGTGTGCTAGAAGAGAATGAATGCTGCTCTGTGATGAGGATGGGTGTGTATAGGAGAAGGCTGGATGGTGGAGTGGAGGAGAGACATAATGTGAGGACACAAAGAACAGCGCCTATGCACATGAGTGTCAGGTTTTAGTCTTGTGTTCTGTAAAATTGGCTGATTAGATCTTGCCCTTTTGAGTTTGGGGACTAAGGGTAAAGGTTTTATACTAGTTACCGGTGAGTTGCCGTGTATTTGCTGATTTGGAGTGTTTACTCCAAACCTCCATCATTGGTTTTTGTTGTGCTTTAAGACTGAAACTGATGTGTCTAGGCAGAGTGGGGAGGCATATAAATATTTTCCATATCTTTACCCTTTAAGGTCATCTTAGAGAAATAAGCCTGTGTTGAAAGAGAATTCTTAGGTCATGAAGATATGTTTTATGGGCATAGATATGTACAGTTTTGTTCCATGAGATATGACAAAATTGGGATCATTTGTAAAGTCGACCTTCATTCGTCACTAATTTGAGACAAACACATCGTTCGGAATTGTCAGGAGTCAGAGTGAATTTTTCAAGACACCCTCAGCAGAGAAATTGAAGGAAGCTTATATTTATTGACTGTCTTTTTGTCAGACCCCTAACTAGGCACTTTTCTCATGTAATCATCAAAATCACCTGGAGAAGGCGGTGTTTTTGTAAGTAAGGAAATGGAGTCTGAGAGAAGTTGCTGTGACTTGTCGGAGATCATTCGCAGCCTTTGTTGTTGCTGTTGTTAAGTGCCATTCAGTCATTTCCAATTCATAGAGACCCAGCACAGGCTTTTTGAGGATGACTGGTGGGCTTGGACTTCTCACTTTCAGTTAGCAGTCCACTGCTTAGCATACAGTGCAACACCAGAACTCTCAGCCATTGCTATGGTTCTAGTTCACGTTAATCCCATTCTAGTACCCAGGCTCTTCTTCTTTCAGTAAGCCAGCCCCATCTAGAATGCTGGTGTCACATGACTTGTATGTGCGTGCTTGGTGTCAAGGGTGACCTTCATTTCAGGGAAGGAGTAGCATGTTGCTCTGAAGTGTCCATGTGTTTACTAAGCCATACTCTGGATCCAGGGTACTGTGACCACAGTTTATAGAACCTGGCTTTTTCTCAGTGTCTGCCATTAGCTGTAGAATCACATAGGAGAAGACTGCATATGGTGGTCAGGAGGTAGTGGTGGTGGTGCCGTTGAGCCAGTTTTCGAGGAGCAGCTGGTGGGTGTGAGCTGCCAACCTTGTGGTTCACAGTCCTGTGCTGATCCTACAGTGCCATACCAGGAGCCCTTGAAGAGGTGGTTATTGTTGTGAAGTGCTGTCGAGTCCATTCCAACCCATAGAGACCCGGGATAGGGTTTCTGAGGAGTAGCTGGTAAACTTGAACTGCCGACCTCACAGTTCAAACGGCTTTGCATTCTGGCGCATTAACCCACAACTACACATATGGGCTTTGAACTCAGTTATGCTTGCATTTGGAATTGTCACCACTAAGCTAAGTTAGTAATCGCTAATAGTCATTGTCCTCACCTGCAAAACGGGAGGCTGTGCGTTTGTTGTAAGACTGGAGAATCAGACGACAGACACATGAAGCACTTGATTATTCTGTGCTTGGTGAGTTATTAACCCTCAGTAAATGGTAGTTAGGGTTATGATGATTCCTTGACCTTTCAGTTGAGAAGAGAGATGCATGTCCTTGTTTTCCTGCCATACAGATTCTTTTGGCTACTTCATGAGACTTTGTGGTGGGGCCCTGACCTTTGGGACTCATGTTTCTACAATTTAGAATAGTGCTTTTGAAGAATGTATGAAAACAAATCTTTCTCCTGAGTTCTTGCCAATCTGTGTTTTAATTGGGGGCTTTATAAGGTTAAAAATATTGTAGAAGAACCTTTATTCCAGCATTTGTTGGCTATTTTGAGATTAAAAAAGAGAGTGACCTTGTACAGTTTCAATATTTCTTTAAAAGTATATATACTTGTACAGCTGCAGGCTTTAAAAAATTGTGCTCTGTCATTTTTCCAATTAGTATTAAGGTCACAAAAATTCAATTCTGAAATGGTACAACTATTTTCCTTTGCCCCTTTTTATCAGATACGATTCATTAGTTCAGTCCCAAGCCAGGGAGCTCTCCCTTCAACGACAGCAGATTAAGGACAGCCATGGCATCTGCGTCATTTATCGTCAACATATGAACACCGTGATGAAGACGTTCAAGGAGTTGCTCCAGGCCAGCGACGTGGACTGCTATTTGGCTGAAGGTTTCCAGGAGCAGCTGAATCAATGTGCTGAACTGCTGGAGAAATTGGAACTGTTGTTTCTCAGTGGTAAGTGGGACAAGGTGTTGTGAGTTCTAAGTCACATGAGTTAATTGATCCAGGACTTCTTGGTGGAGTAGAGGAGGCACTGACTCCTGATTTTTTTCCCCTCACAAGGTGATGGCAGAACCAACTACTGTAGCTTCCTTCCAGTGGCTCATTCCACATGGTTTGTAGTCTGTGCTCTTCTAATCCGAGGAGTCAGTTTAGGAAATGTGATTTTTGAGAGTATGAAAAATCAAGTTAAAACAGAAACTTTTATTTGTTAAAAATGTATTCAAGGGCCAGAGGTGACCCATGATGCCTACTTTGAGAGAAAATATGAAAGAAAGCATTTGCTGAACATCTGCTGTATGCCAGTTACATTAATACAAGAGGGCTTCAAAAGTTCATGGCAAAGTTCCGTTATCTTTTAATTCAATGATTCCACTAACTTTTTGAAGCATCCTTATACATGTTATTTTTTAAAAAGATTCTTAAAAGATTTGCAACTTTTGCAGACTAAAACAAAGAATTCCATGTACTTTACTCAGCTCCATTCATTGTTACTATTTTGCAGCATTTATGTTACCATTCTCTTTCTTTCTCCCTCTCTCTCTCTCTCACACACACACAGTTAGTATCCTTCTAAACCCAATTAAAGTAGTAGATACACAACAAAGCCATTTCTTACATGACACAGTACAATGATCAAAATTAGGAAATGGTTGTTTTAGTGAGGTGCTAACTCTTAGCAACCCTACGCACAACAGAACAAAACACCACTTGATCCTGCAAAATCTGTACAACTATTGTCATGGTTGAGCCCATTGTTGCTGCACTGTGTCAATCCGTCTTGCTGGGGGTCATCCCCCTTTTCTCTGTTAACTGTTGTTAAATGGCATTGACTTCATTTTGCTCATAGAGGCTCTGTATAGCATTTTCAAGGCTTTAAATCTTTGTGGGAGCAGAAAGCCTCCTCTTTCTTCCATGGAGCAGCTGGTGATCTTGAACCACTGGCCTTGTTGTTTACAGTCTAGTGCTCATTGTATGGAGTTACCGTGCTGTAAATAGTATGTATTATGTAATACTCTATTTGATCATGCTTGGTCAGTGAAAAAGAGGAAGGCAACTAATGAGATGGATTGACACAGTGGCAACAGCAATGGACTCAAGTATAACAATTATGAGGATGGCACAGGACAAGGCAGTGTTTCTTATTGTTGAGGTAGGGCCACCATGAGTCCGAACCGACTTGATGGCACCAAACAGTAACAATATGCAATTTATATTCAAATGACTCCAATTCCTTGCATAGTGTCCCTTTTGGCAGTGTTATTTCAGATAGGATCCAGGATCCAGTCCCTCCATTATAACCACTCCTGGTGTGGTACAGTGGTATAAAGGTTGGTTTGGACAACAGGGTTGGTGGTTGAAACCCTATACAGGGTTGCTATGAGTCAGAACTGACTAAATGGCACTTAACAATAATAACAACAACAAACTGTCAATATAGCCAATAATTGGAGCAGGGCTGAGAACAAAAAGCAAAACATTTATTATATATCCACGTACAGGACGACAGGGGAACAAGAATCTCCCAGATCTGCCTCCCCAAGGGAAAGGGAGAGAGGATTTAAAGGGATCTTAGGCATAGAATAGGAGCCCAAGGAATTTCAGAAACTTCTTTGTTGTTTTGTTTTAACTCAAGTTGTGCTGACTGTTCCAAACACGTTGTCTCTATGAACACTGTTAGATTTAACCTAGTGGTGGTTATCTATCAGTGGTCGTCACAAGAAGTGTGTAGCTGTTTTTTACCTTTCTAGGTAGGATAGTCCTTAAAGTGGGGATTAGCCACCAACTAAAATGAAAAATAATTAATCTCTAAAAATAGAGATTGACTATGGGGTAGTAATTGACTATGAAGGGTAGTTAGGGAAGAAGCTCCAATTTAACTATCGCTATTATGACTGTCTGCATCTCAGTTTACTCTGGCCAAGCCAAAACTTTCTTGGTGCCCTTCTCACTGCCCCATTTCTTCACTATATTTGGCTTGGTCACTGGTCTCCTTTAATCTAGAACCGTACCTTACCCTTTCTTTGTATTTCATGACGTTAATATTTTTAAAGAGATCAGGCCAGTCCCTCAATTTATCTTTTGTTCCTACATAATTAGGTTTAGATTACATAGTTTTGGCAAGCATACTGCATTAAGTGATGCTGTGTTCTCATTGTATCATGTTAAAGAGGCACATGATAGCAGTTTGTCCCATTTTTTGTTGTTGATATTAACGTTGATCTTTTGGTTAGGTGATGTCTGTCAGGTTTCTCCACTGTAAACTACTATATTTTCTTTGTAATAAGTAATTAATTAGTGGGGGTCACTTTGCACCTCTGTATATATCCTGTTTCTCTTGCAACTTTTACCTGTGAGTTTCACCATCATTGCCAGAGTTTACAGTAATGATGGCGCTTTGGTGATTTTTTTTTTTTTCCCTATCACCATCATTCCTTTTTCAGGACTAGTGTTTCCTTTTCCCCCATCTATTTATATATTTACTTTTTGTTTATTTATAAATTATCAGTATGGACTTATATGAGGGGGCTTCAAAAATGTGTGGAAAATGGAATTAAAGAATGGAATTTTTCCACAAAGTTTTTGAAGTCCCCTCCTAGATTTTTATTTTTGTCAGTAGGCTATTGCCCATTACTTTCATTCACATTGATGCTCAGGCTGTCCTATATTTGCCATGTCTCCATCTATTTTTGAGCACTTCCTTACTTTCTGGCACTAAGAGATGGCTCAGGATGTCCTGATCCTGAATCAGCCATTTCTCCAAATTGCCCTGGTTCCTTTGTTGAGAATGGTACTCAAAAACCGAGATTTGGTGCTAGGTATGTTCATTGCTATTAGGGTGTCGTTGCTGCTAGGCTATTTAGCAGACATAAGTAGTATGTACAGTGAAACCTGCAAAAGTTACAACCTTTGTAAGGTGGGAACCTGTCAGAAGGGAAACTCAATCATTTTCCACTAATAGAGAGCAAGGAGTACTTGGTGTGGCACTGTAGGATAAGCACTAGACTAACTACAAGGTTGGCAGTTCAAACCTACCAGCTGCTCCTTGGAAACCCTATCCAGGTTCACTATGCGTCAGAACCCACTCTACAGCACTTAACAGCAACAACAGAGAGCAATAGAAAAGTGAGAAGACTGAACTCTGTCAAAGGTGGAAAACATGCAAGACCCAGAAAAACACTGGCAAATTCTGGCTTTCACAGGTTTCTCTCTATGTATATAAGTTTATTTTTTTAAATAGCACTTTACACTGGTCCATGTCCGATCCAAATCCCCAGGGTTCTTCTGTTTCAAATTGTGATAAATATCTATATCTATGTATTTAACAGAACATTAGCAATTTCAACAGTGTTTACATGTACATTTCAGTGGCACTAATTGTGAGGGTGGCATAGGACCTGATGGTGTGTTCTGTTGTGCGGAGGGTCTCTATGAGTTGGAATCAATTCGACAACAACAGCAACAATTATGTTCATTATGTTGTGCAAACCTCAACCCTGTCAGTTTCCAAATTTTTCCTTCACTACTGGGTTTTTGCTTCCTTTCTCTAGTCTGTATCTGTAGTGAGACCCTTGGCTTTTACAGTATCAGTCTATCTACTCATTTGCCTAATTCCGTAATACACTTGAATAGGTCCATAATTATTTCACACATTTACCATTGTGATAAACAAGCCTACCAGAAGAGTTCAAGATTTGTTTATAGTTCTTTTCATTTTTTGGCTAAGCATATAGTGTGGTGCTGAATTTAAAAATTACTTGGTTAGTTCTTTTTTTTTTTTCCCTCCCATAATGTTGTCATGCTATTTGAAATATACTTATATTCATTTTTATAGTTTATATTCAATTCTAGCATTCCTCTTATCTTCAGTTTAATTTTTTGAATATGGAAAGCATGGTTCTGAAGTTAAAACTTTTCTCCTTTTAAATTACCTCTATGAAATTATTACTTCATCCTTTCATTATTATTACAGTTTAGCCTTTCTTTCTCTCTTAAATCCATTGAAATTGAGCTTTTATTATTTTTTTGGGAGGGGAGGAGTGATATTTACTCTTTTTTTCTTTTTATTATGAATTGGGTGAAGGTTTACAGAATTTATCAGTTTTCCATTAAACTGTTCATGTATGTTTTGTTTCATTTTATTGATTACAATCCTCGCATTGAAATGTCTTTGATCCCATTTCCTCCCTTGTGTTTCCATTTCTCTTGCTTCCTCACCCTTCTGAACTTTGTCTTTAGGCAAGTGCTCCCCTCTTGAACTCGAATTGTGGAACCCCTGATATTGTGGCTCTTAAACACAATTCAGGCATGGAAATGAATTCATCACCGTGGCTCAGTGTTCAGCTGTTGTTGTTGTTAAGTGCTATTGAGTTAGTTCCAACTCATAGTGACCATATATTAGGACTTCCAAGGAGCAGCTGGTGAGTTTGAACTGCTTATCTTCTGGTTCAAACCAACCTTGTGGTCGAGCGCTTTCTCCTATAGCGCCACAGGAGGATTCAAGAATTGTCTATAGGGGGAACAAATTCAAGCCTGAATTAAAAATCTAGACCTTGGGTTACAATATTGAAGGATTCTTTGGGCAAAATATTGGATGTTCAAAAGAAGATGAAAGGAAAACACAAAGTCACTGTATAAAAAAAAAAAAAATTAGTTGATGTTCAACCACTTCAAGTGGTAGCATATGATCAAGAACCAGTGTTATTAATGAAAGAAGTTCAAGATGCACTGAAGGCATTGGTGAAAAACAAGACTTGAGGAATTGACAGAGTACAAATTGAAATCTTTCAACAAACTGATGCAGAACTGGAGTCGCTCACTTGTCTATACCAAAAAATTTAGGGGATCCATATTTGTGCCCATTCCAAAGAAAGGTGATCCAGTGGAATGTGGAAATCATTGAACAGTATCATTAATGTCATATTCAAGTAAAATTTTGCTGAAGATAATTCAAA